ACTTTGACACTAGCCCAGTGTTGTCAAGCCTTGGCCACTTAAAGATGGGTGGACTCCACCTCCCAGAATCCCCCGGCCGGCCATGCTGGGAGTTGAAGTCCACTCATCTTAAAGTGGCCAAGTTTGGACAACACTGCCCTAGGCTTTTTGGTTAAACTTTTTACTCCTATTAGATTTGTCTTGATACAGTACAGCGAATGCTATACAGCTCAGGAAGTTCTGTCTTCAAAGAGTGAAGTAGATCATTTAGTAATGAGAGGTTTTTTTTAATGAGCAAGTAAAATATTCCACTGCAGTTTCTAATGATAATACATAATATTCATACAGGATTGTTTCTGTCTTACCCTGTTAGGTGTAAGAATATTTCTGTATCTTACTGGAATTCCTATTGGATGCTGCCCTCTGCTGTTTGTGGAAAGAACTGCTTTTGGGAAGCTGCCCATAGGTAGGCCTTGACAGAGTCTTAATTGCTCAATTAGCTAATTTTAGACATGCTAATAAGTACTTCAGTACTTTGATGTACTGGTAGAAAATGCTGAAGCAATTACCAACTGTTTTGGCTTTTTTTCTATCACATTACACTTGACAGACTTTCAGATTATTTTGATTTAATTTATTTTAAAAAGTTTCCCATTTTTAAATTATGCATTTTTTAAAAATAATATATACTTTAAAATATGGATATTAACTGGTTGTTGTAGCAATTACAACCAAATCAGTCTAGGAGAGTGTCCCAAATTTGTGGGGAAGGGGGTGTTTCTATATATGTACAAATTTACTAAGTAAGATTGTATCATACAGCAATAAAGTCTGCCATATATGTTGTAATTATGTGATTTTCTTTTTTTAATTGAAAATTTGCCACTAATGGCTTTGGTCAACTTTTGAGTTGATAAAATGTGCTTTTGAGGGAAAGATAGAATCCATTGTTTTTCTTCCTATGGTAGAGGTCAACAGAAAGAGGTATAATTGAACAGACAAATATTAGCCATGAAAGAGATGGACAGCCCTTTGCTCTCTTTTACCTATCAGTACTTTACACATGTGTCTAGATTTCTACTCTCTGTTCACCTAGAGCTTCTAGATCTAAATTGAAAAAAACTGTCTTTGCTCTCATTTTGTGGTTATCTGGATTTTTGCAGTCCGGATTTGAGAGTCCTGGATCATTGCATGTTCCTTCTCTGCCTACAGAAAAACTCCCAGCAGCTTAAATAGGCTCTTAATGCATTACAGCTGGGATAAGAAAATAAATAGTAGGGTATTTCTCTGTTTTATCCCCAAGTGAGAGAGGACATTTGTCTGGGCTGGTAATGAGGACAAGTAGAGATTTGGTTAATAAGGTGGTATCTGTGAATTTTCTTCCCTCAATTTTGAAAAAAAGAATTATGCAACATGCCATGTTTGGCTTTGAAGCTGTAATTCTCTACATGCTTACATAGAAACGTTTATTAAAAGAAAGTGAGGTGTGCCTGTAGGTAAGTGTTCAAAGAATGTAGCTGTAAATATCAAGAACTTGTTTGAAGCAAAGTTAATAGACAAAATTCAGAACTGTATTTTTCTACAGGATGTCACTACTTTTGGTTAGTAGAATAATAAATATTCATAATTTTGAGAAATATTATAGTAGTATTACTATGGCTCATTGTGATGTTTCCTTATTTTAGTGATATAATGACTGTTAGTTTCAGCATTTGTATTTACGGCCCACTTTGGACATCATATTGAACTATGATTTAGGACAATACTGTATGACTGCTGGTTAATCATACAACATTGGGTGCTTAGTAGTGGAACAGTGATTAATTATGTTGTACATCTTTTATTCTCTTCCTTGCTCTAGTACAGTCATGAAGAATAGATCCAGGAAGTTAATAATAATTAAAACAGCATTAAAAAAACAGCAAAACAGAGAAACAACAACTCACGTATGATTTACAGTCCGGCTAAAATTGTATTTACCAAGAGCAAATCAACACAACCATTGCACAGGCTCAACTACACCTGCAGATCCCCAGGCCTGGTGACAGAATCATGTATTTAAGGAGTTGCAAAAGGATGACAGGGTCAGGGCCAATCTAATCTCTATGGAAGTGATTTTCCAAAGGGTGGACACCACAACAGAAAAGGCTCTTTTCCTGAGCCCCACCAAATGGCACTCCCTAATAAATCGGACCCAGAGAATCCCTCTTCTGCTGGACCTAGTGGGATGAGACATAACTGAGGAACGGCAGCCCCTCAAAAAAACCTGGCCCTATGTCATGAAGGGCTTTATAAGTTACAACCAGCACTGGAAGCATACTGGTAGCCAGTGCAGTTCACAGAGCAAAGGTGTAATGTACACTGATCGAGGAGTGTACCTAACTGCCTGTGCCACTGCATTATGTACCAGCTATAGCTTCTAGATGCCGTTCGAGGGCAGCCCCATGTAAATTGCATTGCAGTAGTCAGTCTGGGAGGTGACCAAGGCATGAGTGGCCATGAGCAGGGCCCCGCAGTTTAGGAAAGGGCACAAAACAAAATTTAGGAAAATTGGTACAAAACAAAAAATTGTGCAAAGGCCCCCCTCCAACCAGGAGGACCCCCAAATTGCACACTGTTTCTGCTTGGGGTAGTGTGACCCCAACCAGAACTAAAGATGGAAATTCCTTGGGAGGAGATGGCTATAATACTCAAAGCCACTCAGTGTTGCTAGGGTTGATTTGAAGCCTGTTGTTCTTCATCCAAACCCCCAACCTCCATTTACCAAGACAGAATCTCCATGGTATCCCTTGTGTGGCCAGGGGTGGAAATGTAAAGCTGGGTATCATCAGCATACTGATGACACCTCACTCCATTCTGGCAGATGACTTCACCCAACAGCTTTATGTAGATGTTAAACAGGAGTGGAGAGATATTTAATGTATTGTAAGACAACTTATTTAATGGAATATTTAATGGAATGTTTAATGGAATATTTAATGGAATAGAATATTTAATGTATTGTAGAACAGCTTGGGAAAACTGAATTAATGAACCTCTTACAGATATTCATTTATCACTATTTTTTACATACTTGTACTGTATTGTAAGGAACTATTTGAGTTCGTGTGAGAAACGCTTTTTATAGTTGTTGCTATAATATGTATGGCAACCCATTGATAAAATTTCCTTCAAAATACAGGAATATTGAAAGCCTGAAATGTTCCTTTTTTAAAACAGAAGCCTTTGCTGTACTTCAGATGTTCTACCTATTTAAGAGATAAACAAAAACACTCAAATATTAGTTAAAACCATATATATAAGATCTGTTCTTGCTACTAGGATTTCCTGTTTGTCCTATCTGTCTATCCATCCATCTCCACCCATATTATGAACCACATCCCTGGGCAGCTCACAAAACAATAAAAACAGTAAAAAGAAGCAGCATTTTATTTTAGCTTTAAAATCAGATTCTAGTAGAGTTGGGCTAGGACTAACAGCGAAGACAGAAGCAACATGGGTTACACACCTCTTTTATGAGAGTAAGTTAGATCTGATCCTGTTCTTTACTGCTCTTCTTGCATCCTTTTCCTCTAAGGACCCATAATTAAACTCTATTTAAGATTTATTACTGAAATAAAGCTGCTGTAC